CTGATGCCACGGCACTCTAGCCTGGGCAACAGAGTGAGACTCTGTCTCAAAAAAAAAAAAAAGTCATCTTCGTTGCTGTATGTAATATAGTATCTTGGGCATCATATTATTTCTTTTACAGTGTCAATAAGGTATAGAATTGTCTTAGCGACTTTGACAGAGGCAGAATTGATGGCCTTTGTCACTACCTTCATTCTCAAGATATGTAAGAGCCCGTATTTAAGTAATTCTAGTAAATGAGTTCTTGGATTATTTTAGATTACTAAGAGATGGGAAAACAAAACCACTTGGTATCAAAATTCAGTTACAAACTTAGTCATATAAAATAACAAATATTTTAAATTTAATTTTCTAGTAACTGTTTTGAGAGTTTGTTTTTTAAACTTGATTCTTTGTAGGTCTACTTTATTTGCCATCCAAGCTTGTTAATACAACAGAAAAGCAGATGTTAAGGAGAGTAAGGTTTTTTAATAGAAATTAGAACTATGTCATGTACTGTAATTAGAACTTCACAATTCACTGTAGCGTGTTTTATTTGTATATAAGAATTTGTGTTGTGTCCACATGAAACTATTGTTTTTCAGTATGATCCAAAACTTTATTTAAACCCAGGACCCAAAAGACATCTCAGCATATTATGAGCTTCATATTGATGTCTTGTCTTTTTTCAGTCTGATTAATATCTTATATTCATAATATACTTATAAATTTTTCTATCTGTAGAAATCGTGAGATCCTGGAAAATGTATTAGCTGTCATCCTGGCTATTCTTGTGGCTTTTTTGGGATCTATTCTTCTCATCCAAGGCTTCTTCAGAGATATCTGGGTCTTCCAGTTCTGCCTGGTCATAGCCAGCTGTCAATACTCGCTACTTAAGGTACCAGCTTCTCTTCTTTTCATGCTGAGGAATAATATTTGTGTTAAAAGGCAGAAGGTTTCGTACCATTCACTGAATTTTAGTAAGATGATATTATTTTTCTTGGATGTTTATATAAAATTGTGTAGGTACTAAAAAGGGGATATAAACTTAAAAAATAATTGTATGTAAATAGAGCTTCCTAAAAACTATTTTTTAT